TCTACGCTCCCAGTATTGCCACTCACACCACTGGTCCTGAAGGGATCATCCACCCTGGATTCTCTGTGTTTCCAGCTTCTATCTGTACCAGTGTATATCCTCCGGTTTAGTAGAATTGGGATCATGATAGTGGGGTGGAGGGGGAAGGAAGCATTTAGGAACTAGAGGAAAGTTGTTATGTTTCATCGTTGCTACATCGCACCCTGACTGGCTCATCTCCTCCCTGAGACCCTTCTGTAAGGGGATGGAAAGTCAACTTTTAACAGACGAAGATGATCCAGGAGACTGACCCACACAGGCAAAGTCTGGAAAGAAGGAAGAAATGAGGAAATGAAAAGTGGATGGGAAGCCCGATAATACAGTGAAGGAAGCGGTGAAATATGTAACAGGAAAAGTCACCCACACTCACTGAGTCCATTCTGACTCACAACAACCCCATAGGACAGAGTAGAACTCCCTTATAGGGTTTCCAAGTCTAAACCTTTACCGGAACAGGAAGCCTCATTTCCCTCTCAGAGCAGCTGGTGGGTTTGAACTGCTGACCTTGCAATTAGCAGCCAACTGTGCCGCCCTCTACTCACCACCAGGGCTCCTAGAGAGGAAAAGAAGGGTTACATGATGGAAGGCTCCATTAACCACAGTAAAAGAGTTCGGGTCTTCTCCTGAGGACACGAGGGAAGTGTTAGTGACCTCAGCAGGGAGTGCTACACCAGCACATTGGCAGGTTTACTCGGGGGAAATGTGGAGCATTCACTTATTTTTTTAATTAATTCATTTCTAATGCCAAGACCAGAAGCAGGGCAGCCATATATGACTTGGTTAATACAGGAATCCAGGAGTGTGATGGATCACACAAAGGAAGTAGCCATCAGTGGGACATGAGGGCAGGGAGCACCTGTGACAACCTCTAAGAGCAAACGGGGGTATGCTGAGAAGGCACCACAGTGATGGAGCTCAGCATGCACGTGGCAGAAGCGGCAGAGCCCTTCTCCCAGGGGACTCTTCCTCTGGGCCTCCGCGCTGTTCTGTTTGCCGCCTGAAATGCAGGTATTTTACTGTGAAGTCAACAATGTACTCCAAGTTAGAGGAAGAAATAGAACTTTTTTATTAGAAGGTGTATAGCAGCAAGGAGACAAGACAGTAAAAAAAAAAGTTGTTTGAAAAATTACAAATTTTAAAAAGCTGTTTGAAATCAGAATATATGGAGAATATATACCTTTGACTTAGGACTTGATGCTTTTGGGGAGTCATGCATCTATGGTTTTACATTAACTCCTGTTTCAGGGAAACTACAGGAAATAACTGTTGACTATGAGCAAACAGAGCAGCAAGGTTCTTTAGCCAATCTTGGGAAGCCTTTGTTGACCAACTAGATAGCAGGATCCAGCTTTTCACCACTGGCAGGTAAACAAGACTCTCAGAGTTCTCTGACCCCTCTAAGTGACATCCGCATCCAACCTGTTTGTCTTTGAGCAATGTATAGAAATCCCATGGAGACTGCAGGAAGTAAGTTCCTTAGACTAACTGCATTTGCATTTTTCTCACTACATTAAGTCAAATCAGCTAGGTTGCATGTTCTTGCAAACATGCCCATCACCTGCTATCCCTACTTCCTGCCACCTCCTGACCCCTCCCCTACATTCTTTTGTATGCCCCCTATTTTCAGAGACTTCTCTGGGGAACTAACA